AAATGCAAAATACATGACTATATCATATTCATAATTGCCATAGGGTGATTCATTTACGTGCTCCATATTCAACTGTTCTGCTTTGTTATCAGTCCCTGATGGGCATCAAATAGAATTGTTCGTGCATGTTGGGTCCAAATGATAGCAGAAATATGTGACTGAGATTATGTCAAATTCCACACATTTGCTACTCGTGATCTGAATGATCCTCCCTTCTGATTGGAATGTTATATTTCAGCAGTCATTTTGAAGTCCCACTTTTTATATAGAAGGGAGGGTTCCAATCCTGAGCTGGATCTAGAGTGAGCTTTTGACTGAGGATCACTGTTATTGTTGCAGAAGTCCACACAAATTAAAACTGAAAAAGTATCAGGCAAGTCTTAAAGTACTGATATGAAAATGTGGTAAATTTTATTGATAAATCATTCTTCTGACTGGGAGGAGATATAATGTAGCAGATCATCACTCAGATGTGGTGCTGAGTAGCAAGGCAGCTAAACAAGTGTATATCCTGGGTGTATTATAATTCATTTATTATATTAATTCAAGAGTGGGGTACTTAAATGAACACCATTTCCCACAGTTAACGAACTGGTGAATATTTATATTGCTTTATGCAAAAGACATGGTAATCCTTTTGCAAATCTCAGATTACAAAGCCTTGCAGATACTACTTTTGGATTGCAAATCAATTATGAGAAAACTAAAACCATGTGCTTTATTAAAAAAAAATGCTGCCCCTGCACTTGCCCAAAACATGCCTAACAAATATGTTGCTTTTCATATTTTGGATCTGTGCTACAATACTGGCAGGTAAATGTTCAAATGACAGTGAACTCTCTTCTTTCTTTTTGTCTCATTAGAGTTGTGAATTCTAGTCCAAACACTTGCAACTATTTGAGGCCAAATTATTTGCCTATCTTGTATATGGGGATTTGCCCATATCTTTTATATGGGGATCCAGAGTCAATTGCACCAAACTAAACAAATGAAAATATTCCCTTATAACACAAGACTGGCTAATTTCTTTCAATTTCTTATCTTGTTTAGTCTAACCCAAGTAGAAAAAATAAATTGGAAAAATTCAGAATTTTGAGTTTTCATCACAGTCATTGCTGACACGACCAAGAACTATGACAGCTTTTAGAAAAAGAAACCTTATGTAGAATAGCATTGTGGAAAGCCACCCCTCTCTTAGAAAATGAAATATTTTAAAGAATATTTAAAAAGGCAAAATATTATATTTGCCTAAATGAGAAATGGAGAAACGTGTTTTTTTAGAGGCAGGAAGCAGACTCAGTCTTTCTTAATAGCCCTCAGCAGATATTTTGTGCTCATTAAGTTAGATTGAGCCACCTTATTCAGAAACCAGCCCCCGTCTTCCTGCCCCCAAGCAGAAACTGAGAAGGCCACTTTTTAGAAATGCAGATTTGATAATCCATTCAAGACAAGATATTTTGAAACAAAGGCAGAATGGTAGCAAAATTAGAAGTGGACTAGAGCAGAGTCTAAAGCCCCTTCATTGCACCACCCCATATCAGTCCAAACGTCAACAAAATTAGCTCACAGAAGCTCCTAGGATTGAATTTCCTCTTTTGCCTATACCGCCAGCTATGACCCCTACATAACCCCTACATGACCCCATAGGAATCTGACAACAACCAATAGAATATTAGAGGAGATGTTCTTGCAGAGGTACAGGAAGCTCAAATACAAAGTCCAAAGAAGGTATAACCCCCCCCCCATCAACTCTATTTTGTCAGCTGCACCAGAACCATAAATGCTGGTGGTTCTGTTCATCATTAAATTATCTTTCCAATCAGCCTCCATGTTTCCAGTATCTTTCTCCCAGCTTGGAACTGAACCAAATGGATATTTCTTCCAACAGATATGACTAATGCTGTTTGGAATACTATTGGCACATAGTAAGATATCTTTCAAACCAGATCACAAGTTTATACTGTCTGAAACTACATTTTTCTGCTGTTATATTTTACCATTAACTATACAGGAGAGCAGGTTTCAGAAGTTCACTTCCCCCTCCACTCCCCCACCCCAAATAGATTTGTTCCTGTCTGTCTGGGAACACTGAATTACTATAAGTTCTATAGAGATGGATTTCTGGAGAAGAATGGCGGATGGTTGGCAGCATTGCAAAAAGCAGAACTGACAATCACAATGGAAGGAAGAGCCAGCAACTAGATCAGCTCTTCAATAATTCCTTTCCGGAAAAGGAGGATATCACCCATAAGTAGTCCAGCAACAGATTTCCAATATAATCTTTAGAACTGAGCTAATCATTTTGCAAAAAATGTGGTCAGAACCTTTAAAAGAACCATAAATTTGCATACTTCTTTTTCTAATCACTTTTAGAAATTTTAACAACTTTTCAGCTATTAGGAATCTTTGTATGGACATGTTTTATAACACTGGGTAAGTTTTATTCAATCTTTAATGAAATAATATTTAAATCCAAATTTAAGAACTTATTTTTCTTTATTGACCGGCAAATAACCAGACTCAGACTCAACTTATGATTAGAGAATGAAGCAACATATTTTAACATTGAACATTTTGGATTTTTTAAAACAATGGAGCCAGTTTGTGCAGTATATCTCATGCACTCCCTCCCTTCTTTGCACATTCTCTCATACTTTCCCAACATGAACCATGTTCTTATGCACCCTCTTGCACCACTGAGCATCCTTGCACATCCTCCCCTCCCCCCACCATGCCATACCCCAACCCTTCTCCCTCCTTTCCTTCCCTGGGATTTGAAACTTTTTGCAGCTTATCCACTGGTTTTGATTATGGGAAGTTGACAGCAAGTTGCCCTATTTAATGACCATGCAATTTACTTCAACAAGAGCAACTGGCAATGTGGGGATTGCTGTCCCTAAGCAACACAGTAGCATTTTCCGAGTGCCCTGCTTAGTAATGAAAATTCTGGTGCCAATTGCCATTGTAAGTTGAGGGCTGCCTGTATGTTATTAGCCTGAGGAGGTTTTGATTCATAAAAAGTTTATTCAAATTACTGCAATTTTTGATTACACTATTTTTTTGGCATTGCAACAGTTACCATAAATTTTCAGAAAATGCATGGAGCAATTAAACTGTTCTAATAAATACCTGTTTGCTCAGAACTCTCCTCACACCCACTCATTTATTCTTTTTCTTGAATAATTTATTCAGTTTCTTCACATTAAAGACTTAAGAAAAGACCAATAAAATTATTTAAACTGAAATTGGCCCCTCAAATGTTTCTATCCTAAACATTTCCTACATTTAATTAGAAAGACTTAGCTGTACTGTACATTTAATTTAGAACTATTAACATAACACAACTGAAACAAGAATTCTCAGGAATAATCAGAGAAAGAATTCTGGGTGCTGAAATGAAAGGTGCCCAGGTTAGTAATATTATGTATTATACAACAAAACAACAATACAAAGATACCCAACTAAGGTTTCTAACATGTTCTCCATACTTTTCAGCCATATATCGCCAAGACTCAACTAGTTAAGAATTATGCAACTAGCGCTCCAATACATTTGGAGGGACCAATAATATGATGTAGAGCGATAAAACTATAAAATAAAAAATATTGGGATGAAGGAGCTAGAAGTAATTTTGAAGCAGACCTATTGAAACAGCTTATGGCAATGTAATGTAATTGAAGAAATATATCAGTATTACAAGAATCGGTTCCACATACCTTTAGAGGAAGATCTTAAAACCAATTGTTCCGAACATGGAACAATACAATAGATTGGAAAGCTTATAAAATATTATCAGGACACCTCCATATTATAATCTTAAGCTATTCCTATCCTGTCATCTCCTTATGTTTTTGGTTTTTTTACTCTTTAGTAGCTTAAGAAAATTCTATCTGCATTGAAATGTTCTGGAAGCAATTGGCCACATGTTCAGACTGAACTTCTGGCTACTAGAGCTTCCATTAGACAATTGCATTGCTATATCACTATTTCACTTCCCAGCTTTCTGCGGATAGGTTTTACTGGATATTTGGTTTGGTTTTCTGATCTTGGCTTTGGTTACTGCAAATACTATGGCATTAAAGTACTGTATTTTTCGGACTATAAGACACAAGCTAGCTTTAGAAGAGGAAAACAAGAAAAAAAATCTGCTTCTGCATAAATCTGGTATTTATCTGCCTAATGCCATTGCAGAAAACAGCAAATATCCTGGTCAGTTTCATCACATCCTCACAGCCCAGCACATGGCTCATTAGGGCTCTGCTCTGTTACACACAACACTGGTCAACTGAGCTGAGCTGCTGCTGCCACAGCCAGGAAACACTGGAGCCTTTGCTGCCGATCAGCGGATTGGCAATTGGATTTTCCTCCTGGAATACCACCAATCAGCTGTTCTAGGTAGCAGGGATCTCCACTGCCATTTGCTGCTACTGCCACAGCCCATTCACCACCACCACTCCCCATTTGCTGCCGCTGCTGTCCATTCATCACTGTCACCCATTCGCCATTGCCACTGCCCATTCCCCACAGCCTGTTCACTGTGGTCCATCTGCTGCAGCCTGTCTTCCACAGCCCATTCGCCGTGGCCTATTTGTCATAGCCCATTAGCTGTGGCCTGTTTGACACTTCTGCCACCCATTCATCACTGCTTCTGCCTGTTCGCTGGTCCTGCTGCCCATTTGCCACTGTGATCAGTGGCGAATGAGTGGCAGCAATAGACGGGGGCATTCCCTTTTGCCTAGAATAGCTGATTGGCAGCACACCAACCCCCCTCCTGCCTCCCACATCCCTCCTCCTACCTCCCATATCCTGACTCCCATATTCACTGTGTAAGATGCACAGACATTTCCACCCACTTTTGCGGGGAGAAGAAGTGCGTCTTATGGTCTGAAAAATATGGTAATCTACTACTTTAGTTATAACATTTGTTGACATGCAGAAAGTTCATAGGTTCAATGGTTTGGGGGTACAAACTCAGTGGTGCGCTATTTTGTAGGGTTTACCTTCAGCTGAGGTAGAATGTTTCATCCTTCTTTCCAAACTGTTCAGCTCAATAGGTTCTGCAAAGAATTTAACATTGCATTAACCTGTGCTGGTTAAAAAAGACAAAAGGGGAACTGAAGAAAAAGAAAACAATCTCCACAGAGCAGAAAAGTGGTAAGATTGGGAAAAGAAAAATGGCATTTTTTTAAAAAAACAACAACAGGGTTTTAAAATTAAGAAATCAGTATTTTTTTAAAAAATAATAATTTCAACAAACAAACTATTAACAAAAACTTGAACAGGCACCACCCAATGTCAAGCAAGAAAAGACAGGTGAAGGGTGTATTGGCAGGTGGGGGCAAGTTCATGATAATATCTATCTCTATCCCTCAGAAATGGTTGATGGCCTATACTCATGTTTTGGAGAATTACTGGGTTGTCATCATTTCAAATAAAGAATTCGGATTTAGGACTTTTACCAACTATTTTATTCTAATACTCGTGATTTAAAATTGATCCTGGCCTTGAACGTGTGCCTGCCCTATTTATAGGCTTCTCCAAGAAAGAAAATGGAGAAAGCACTTCCTTAAAAAGAGAACTATATTTTGAAAAATCTCTTTTTAACATTTCCTCATTGTCAGGAGACCAGGTTTTTAAATATTTAAAAGGGTGACAGAGTTCATCTCAAAATCAGTGATAATCAAACCCCAGGACACTACTGTTCTACAGTACAGCCTGGCCAGAATTAACTTTCAGCCAATACCTATCTCAGAAGGATGTGGGAAGGAATTAGTTTGAATTCATTTTTAACATTTTTGGACATTACCCCTTTCTTTTTTTATGAGCTCTTCACAGCTCTGCTATTTTATAAGCTCTTCACATTTTCTTCTTCTAACAAATTGTATCTCAAAATTAGGCACATAATGTTACTTGAAATTCAGCCTTCATTTTGCCAATAAAGCATGAAAATATAAATGCAGAACTGTTATGAAAATTACCTGACTTTATGCCAAGCTTCTTTTCTGCTTTAGTACAATCACAACTACATTTTCCAAGCACACCAAACAAGGGTGTGTCTCTCTGCTCCTGTGACAAGAAATGAATAAGCTTCTATAAAATCTGACAAAACAAGAAACACTAATTTGTTTTCACACCTCATTTAGCCTCTGGAAACTTAAGTTTGTGTTGTTTAGACAATTCTATGCAGAGCCATCTGCTGGCATTCAAAAGAAAAAACAGATCCAAATCAAACTTAATTGAAAGGAAGCACATAGTTTTCCTTCTTCTTTCCTTATGCTAGTTTCTGAAAAAAATTGACCCTGTCTTGAATTCATTTGGGTCAGTATTAAAGGTTGGGGGGAAATGACATTGCCATAGGTCTATACTACAGGCCACCCAACCAAGCAGAGGAAGTAGATGAACTTTTTGCTAGTCAGCTAACTAAGGTATGTAGGAAGCACACTATAATAGTAGTGAGGGATTTTAACTACCCTGACATCAACTGGGAAACAAACTCTGCACCAAGTGGAGGATTCAACAAGTTCCTAACGAACCTAGCAGACAACTTTGTTTCCCAAAAAGTAGAGAAGGGAACAAGGGAATCAGCCATATTGGACTTAATTCTCACTAACAGAAAGGAAATGATAGCAGTTGTTAATGCCACAGGA